CGATGGTGGTTAAAGGCTGAAGATCCGTTTCAGTGTTTAGCTGCATGTGTTATTCTGACACAAGCCTTGAGAAGCCCTTCACCTTATTCAGTAATTTCCCACTTGCCTATTCATCAGGTATTCTACTTGACATTTGCTTTCTGTAGAAGATTCTAGGTTGGGGAATTTAGTAGGCTGTTTGCTTTTCCCTGTTGTATAAGTTTTTAATTGGTTTCACCAGATGTAGGAATTCCATTGGGCTGTGAATCAACTATGGTGTACTTTTTTCAAATAATCCATCAATTCTTAATCATCATTTTTTCCTTGAACCTTTTCTATGTGCAGGATGGGTCGTGTAATGGTCTACAGCATTATGCAGCTTTAGGAAGAGATAGTGTAGGCTCTCTTGTGAACATTTATAATCTGCTTTTTCTCTTATTTGAAGTAATTTTCAGTCTTATATACTTCTCTTCGTGTAAACTGGCTTCTCTCAGTTTGAAGCTGCGGCAGTTAATCTAGTTGCAGGAGAAAAACCAGCTGATGTCTATTCCGAAATTTCACGGAGGTATCATATCAATTTAGAATGGAGTGGCTTTCAATTCATTTATTCGAGTTGGAATCATGTCAAGAGTAGTTTTAATGGTTTTCCTCTCTGTCTCTCTTTCTCACTCCTCTCTTCTTCGCTTGTGCTGAGATAGAGTCCATGAAATAATGAAGAAGGACAGCAGTAAGGATCCTGAGTCAAACCCAACCGCCGCGTTGGCAAAGATCCTTATCACTCAAGTGAGTCTCATAGGTTTTTGAATGAACATTATGCCACAGCAAAAGTTCTTCCCAATGATGCTATGTTTTCTTCTAATTTCAGGTCGACAGGAAGCTGGTAAAGCAGACGGTAATGACGTCAGTATATGGTGTCACTTATGTTGGAGCGCGTGAACAAATAAAAAGAAGATTAGAAGAGAAAGGTGTTATCACTGACGAGAGAATGTTATTTGCTGCTGCTTGCTATTCTGCAAAAGTAAGAAGAATAGTAGCATTCAGACGGTTAATTTTTATTTTGTTTTTAGTTATGTACTAATTTTATAGTTGAAACATTTCTCCTCAGGTGACCCTAGCTGCCCTTGGAGAGATATTTGAAGCGGCTCGTGCCATTATGAGTTGGCTTGGTGATTGTGCAAAGGTGTGGTCTTGTAGTATGTTTATTAATTCTGCTCTTTTCTCATTTAGTAAATGGGAGACCTAATAGAGCTGTGTATCCTTATATGACTTGTCAACATTACAGATAATTGCTTCCGATAATCATCCAGTGCGATGGATCACCCCTCTTGGACTTCCTGTTGTGCAACCCTATTGTAGAAGTGAAAGACATCTGGTAAGTGCTATCCATTAAGAATTCTTCATGTAAACTACAAATCATACCATTGTGGGAGCCAATAATTTTGACTATTGGTATCAAATATGACCACTATGGTTGCAGATAAGAACATCTCTTCAGGTTTTGGCTCTGCAGCGAGAGGGTAACACGGTAAAGCCTATTTGCTCCTTTGTTTGTGAGCACTGAGAAATTTTCAATTGTATGATCCCGTATACTTAAAAGACTTTTAATTCTCAGGTGGATGTTAGGAAACAAAGAACTGCATTTCCTCCAAATTTTGTGCACTCGCTGGACGGCACCCACATGATGATGACTGCTGTTGCATGTCGAGAGGCTGGCCTAAACTTTGCAGGTACTCCTGTTAATTCAACTAATGGCTTACCAACCACAAAATTTGGACTCTCTTCATATTCAATGTCTGGGTTTTGCAGGTGTGCATGATTCCTACTGGACCCATGCATGTGACGTTGACACAATGAACAGGATACTTAGAGAGAAATTTGTTGAGCTTTACAACACACCGATCCTTGAAGATGTAAGTTTTCGATAACTCTCTGGTTATAAGAAGCTTATGACTGAACGTCTGGCATTCTTTTCTGCACACCTGCCAAAGCAATAGAATGCTGTAGATCGTAAAACCACCACATAATTTTCAAATTGTGTGTGAAGTGTTTTCCAGCTTGTCTGAATCGAAGATCATGGATTGACTTATAGTTGCATACTTTACCACAATCACAAAGCTTTCTTTCTACAATTCGTTTTGGGAATTGATTAAAGCTTTTGTGTTAATTACACAGCCTCATCTGTTTTGTTGACATTGTTTTGTTCTTGATACAGTTACTCCAAAGTTTCCAAGAATCATACCCTAATCTTGTGTTTCCTCCAGTACCAAAGAGAGGAGATTTCGATTTAAAGGAAGTGCTCAAATCACAGTACTTCTTCAACTGAGTCATGCACGTAGAACCAGCAAACCATCTGAAAAAGGAAGCAAGTTTTTGACTCAGGGATCTTCCTTTGTGGCCTGTAAATAGCATCCACCACCTCAAACGACATGGACAGAACCAGAAATGTGCACGAAAGACAAACTGCTGCTGCAACACACTAAGATTCTGACATAAATTATCTTGCAGCGGAAGAGGAGGAATTCAGACAAATCTACTTAGAGCAATTTTGGCATCATTGAAGAAGTTTCTAGGTCCTAGACAATCTTGAATAATTGATGTAAGGTATGAGTCATTTGCATCAAGCTTGTTTTTATGTGTTTTTGGGGATGAGATTAGGATTAGATTTTTGTTGTATCTGTCATTCGTAATGTTGTACAGAGAGAGAGAGAGAGAGAGAGAGAGAGAGACTTCATATACAAAACAAGAGCACAGTAACAAAGAAACAAATCTTGCGGTATTGGATTAAGAACAAGTAAGAAAAATTAGCAAGTTTGAAGGGCTACTATTTGAGGAGAAGAACGATTGTGGTTAGAATAATAAGAAAATGAAGTGTTATTATAGTAGCAGTGATTTAGTTTGTATGGGATGATAATGTAGCATCAAACTACAATTAGTATTGAGAATCTAAGTGTTGTAAAAAAATGTGCACATCATGTAGTTGTTCGTGGAATCGTTTATAGTAATTGTATGTGATGCAGATAGTTATTTAATGGATTGAATGATTGATCGTCATAATAAGGTCATATTAAATATCTTTGATGATGATGATGTAAAAGACTATAAAAACTAAAATTAGTATTAAAATCAAGAAAATTAGAAGAATTACTATATTATCCATATTCGCCCTCTCTTTCTTATTATTTTCCTCTGGAATAAATCTAGATTTTGTTATGACAAATGTCATGATTTGAATTTTAAAAAACAAATAAGAAATAGAAAAAAGGATATGTGATTCTAAATAAAACATGTCAATTAAACATAGAATATGTTAATAATTTGTTATTTTTGGATAAGGGTTTTAGTCTCAAATGTTGTGGAGGTATCTTTAGAGAATTAGTATTTACAAGTGCAAATAATATATAAGCATTCACTTGGAAAGCAAATGTTTCAAAGTCATCATCACTACACTAATAATAAAATTTATATAAAATCAAGAGAAGCGAAAAAGAAACAAAAAGATCCGAAGAAATCTTCAATAATTCTGTTGTGTTTTTAATTCAATAAACTATTATTTTCTCTGTTTTTTACTAGGTTTCATGAACCAATCGCTTTGATATTGGACCAATGCAAATCGAAATCTTCTCTGAGAGATCATGTTATAACCATGTGATGTCTGTTGGGGAATGACATCCACAAGACATTTGGAACCTCTTTATAAACTTTCAATGTTGCCCTTACCTGATGATTTTTGCTTGTCAATCCAAGAGATATTTGATTTAATATCTAGAACAACTAAGACTACTAAGACCACTGGGTTTGACTCCTACAAAACAAGAGCATATTCAAAATTGAGATAATAACTTAAGACATATTCTACCCAACACTTATTAATATTTTCTTATATATTAGATATATCAAAATTTATCTAAATCACCAAAACTATTTTTGTTTTGTTTTGTTAACATACATTTTGGTAGCCTTTTGTTTAATGAGAACCAAACTGAATCATCAAAGATTAATTTGCTTATAACCAAAAAACTGAAATCAAATCTGTATCTTATTATCAAACATGTTTTAGTATTTGAACCAGAACAAATTCTATATTAAATGGAAATATAAGAATTGAATGATAATGCATTAATATTATAATTCTATCAATAACTTATTATCAATGAAAACAATTGAACTAATTTTGTTTTTATCAAAAATATGAAAAATTAAACAAAACATAAGCATAATATAAGCAACAATAAAAAGAAGAATAAAAATAGAAGTTATAGAATAAATTTAAGATATTAAACAAAAAGTGGATGATTGCTGATTACCAACTATCACTTTGTTGATAGTTTATGACTCGCTAACTATAAATGAATGATGGTAATGTTAGAAGATTCTTGTTCCTTTTATTTTCATAATCCTCTTAGTTTTTTTTAATAATTATTTTTCATTGGATAACACTTATGAACTCAATGCCTACATTTACCATTTTAAGTATGATTGAACATTTTTTTTTTCATATTGTATGTTGATTACTAATTTTTCTTATGATAATTGTATTTCACTTATTAATATTTCTAAATATTAAGTATTAATATTAAGGTTTTTCACCTTCAAAATAATTATAGGTTGCATTACAGACATAATTTGTACAAAGTGAAATCAAATCCGAGGTTAAAATTGAGGTTCTGACGCTCTTTATAGGTCACTCCGATTTACATATTTTAATGTCACATATCGTTTAAAGCCTAAGTCATTTCTTTGGTTTAAATGTACGACAATGAAATAGAGAATGGCAGAAAAATATGTGAAAAGATAAGTAAATTTTTAACATTAAAACTGAAATCCAAACCAAAAACCAGTACTGAATTTCAAAATGATGATGTCTTGTCTTGGTTTGAATTTTTGATAAATCCAAAAGAAAAAAGAAAAACGAACACGAAACCAAATTTCTGGGCAAAGATTTGATTGGGCTAAAAGTAAAAAACTGAGTCCCAAAGCCCATTTATCATAAATTACGAATCTGCCACTATTGCGCGATTTAGGGTTTTCTTCTCCTTCCACAAGCAGTTTTAAGGGTTCTTCTCTCTATCTCTCTCGATATTCTCTTAACAACCTCAACAATGGCGGAGCAGGTTTCTAATTTCTTTTCCTCTTCTCTTTTTTTTTTTCTATCATTTTTGTTTGTAAAACATCATTTCTCTCTTTTTTTTTCTTCTCCTCTAAGCTCTAATTTAATGTGTGTTGCAGACGGAGAAAGCGTTCTTGAAGCAACCAAAGGTCTTCTTGAGGTAAAAGTTAACGAAAAAATCTTTTGTTTTCTTCAGTTCTTTAGATGATCTTCTCTTATTCCGAATCATTTTCAGCTCGAAGAAATCTGGTAAAGGAAAGAGACCTGGAAAAGGAGGTAATCGTTTCTGGAAGAACATTGGTCTTGGTTTCAAGACTCCCAGAGAAGCTACTGAAGGTACACAATTCCTCTATTACATTGTCTTAAAGCTTGTGTTTTTGTTTAGATTGTGTCATAATTTGGATTAAAGGTCATCTCTTTTACAATTTTCATATTTGGTTTCTGAAATTGGAATGAGTTATGTGTAATGCTTTGGCTAGTTTTGAGTTGTTTCTTGTTTTTGAATATTGTAGGTGCATACATTGACAAGAAATGTCCGTTTACTGGGACGGTTTCGATTAGAGGTCGTATCTTAGCAGGTACTTGTCACAGTGCGAAAATGCAGAGGACTATCATTGTTCGGAGGAACTATCTTCATTTTGTTAAGAAGTATCAGAGGTGACAAAAGATCTTTACTTTTGTGTGTTTTGAATTCCACCTTTCAGTCTTTAACAGCGACGAATCAATAGGTATGAGAAAAGGCATTCGAACATTCCCGCTCATGTCTCACCGTGTTTCCGTGTCAAAGAAGGAGATCATGTGATCATCGGGCAATGCAGGTGAGGACAGTAATGAATTATCTGTTACCTTATGAAATCCTTGTGCTAATATAGAGTACCATTGGCTTAAAATGTTGTTTCAGACCGCTGTCAAAGACGGTAAGGTTTAACGTCCTAAAGGTCATTCCAGCTGGGAGTTCTGCTATAGGGAAAAAAGCATTCTCTGGAATGTAGAGACTTGTTAAAGTTGTTGTGATCGATGGACTTGAGAGGATTTTGGCTTTTCATGTTACATTCTCAAGAAAAACCTCTTTTGCATTTGTGTTTGCTGCAAACATTTATGTTTCAAAACTTTCTCTCTTACAAATACCATTATATAAGAATGATCCTCTTATGTTTGTTATTGTTTTTTTTCTACGATTTATATTCAGAATATAGAGCTTGCTTTGGGTTCAAACTCAAGTGAATTTAAGGTAAATTTGTCGTCTTTTGTAAAAGATCCAGATCAAACACATTAAACTGTGTATGAAGGAAAATTGTTTTGATACATCCACTACGGAGTTTTCCACCGGAAAGTGAAGTGTATTTGATGGACAAATACAAGTGTTACCGGTGAGTGTATCATGACAGCAGGGCACTTGAAGGCAATCAACATGAACACCTTGGACTACTACTTGTCCTCGGCGTTGCAGACGAGGAAGAAATATCAGATAGAGCACATTGCCTCGCCTCTGTCCAGGACTCTCAGACAAATTCATTACCTATAGTGTGGGATAAAAAGCTGGAAGAAAAACCTCCAACTTCTGCGAATCTCTATACTATTAAAAGAGAAGTACAAATGAAAATGGGTCGGGTCAAAATCAGAAAATTGATCCAAAATTCTGAAATCGGATCTTTCAAATTTTTTGGAATATAAATTCGAATTAATAATGAAAAATCAAACTAAAATCAAATGTTTATAATGGAAATCAAATAAATTCTAATTGTACTTATGGTAAGTATTTATAAAAGCATATTCCAAACAATACTATACATTAATTATGTATAATATATTTGTTCATATATATTAGGAACTAATTCCATAACAATCCACATTTTTGTCATTAATTTTGCTTATTTTAGTCAATTACCATTAATTGAAAGATATCTTACTTGCTTCTAAATATTTCTATAAAAGTTATCACAACTAACCCATCTATTTTATAAATTTAATAGATTTTTTTTTTTTTTGAATCTCCCTTGGCCCATTGGTTGACCAAGAGTTAATTAATGCTTCTACACCCAGAGGTCTAGGGTTCGAGTTCTAAATACTACGATTTATTGATAAATTTGCAGATTATTAGAGGCAAGTGTGCAGGAGATCTCCAGCGAAATACAATTATAGCCGTTCGCCAGGATTCTACGCAGAGAGAGAAATGTCCATCAAGAGCATGAAGAAGGAGGTGAAGGAGGTGTCGTCTGTCGTGAATCTAATAAGGATCGGAAGGAATTGTCCGTTGTAGAATCGTCTATGTAACAGTTCTCATAATTTGCAATAACTAATAAATCCAGACGATAAAAAAAATAGATATTTTTATTTTGGCCATGTAAATTAAATAGATATGAAATCCATGTCACTAATTTTAATTTAATTAGATTAAATCAAAATTATGGTATTTTCATATTTATAGCTTACCAAAGAAGTTTAATTTTCAAATTATGAAATTTTTTTGAATATGATTTGTAGATTTTATTCAACAAGATGATAAATATTTATTAAATTTTGTGAATCATGAAAATATTAATTAATTTTTAATCACTATATTTCACCTTTCAATCTCTTATCTAACAAATAAGATGCAGATTCTATTATTCCTATGTCCAAACTCCATTTTGTTGTATGACTAAATAATATTCCCATTAGAGCTGGCAAAGCGAGTTGATTCGTCCCGTTAAGCCCGTTTTGCGATAGGCAAAATATATTTTGACATGTAGTTAGTCGGTCCGCACGACCCGCATGTAGCATATATGAAACACAAACCCGTCCCGCGAATGTATGCTGATTTGCGGGGTTGTCTTTGGATTTTGTTTAAATAATTTTAAAGTAACCAAAATTTAAAATACTACTAAAATAAATAAATAAAAAACAATTAGAGAAAATAATTTTATATATCATTATATTTATAAATATTATAATTTCATTTACTAAAAGTTTTTTAATTACCACATGTTGAATAAATTATATTTTTATCAATAAATACTAATATGCGGGCTGATCCGCCAACCTATGGACGAAAACCGATTAAAACCTATGACCCACTGCGAATCAATCTATGTAGCCCGCTTATTTTGCGGGTTTAATAAATTTTCCTAAATCTTCCCAATAGTGAGATGATTTGGGCTCGACCCGTGGTTTTTGACCTATTTTGACTGCTCTAATTCTCATGAATCGTCTAATTTTAGAATTCTAAAACACAAAATTTCATTTTGTAAATCATAATTAATATGATGGGTTTAATTATGAACAATTTAACATTTTTTCTACAATTTGTTATTATAAATATTTATATGTCCATTACACGATTGGACTAAAAACACGCACAATATTAAAATCAACTTACGTAAACCAATATTCCCCCGCGGTGGACCGCGGGTCCGATCCTAGTTGGCTGAAAAAAAAAGCAGTCGTTACATGTAAAAGTCCCAAGTTTTGGTCAATTTCATAGATTTACCTCCATTAAATCTTGTGAAGTCTTGTTATCAGCAACTGCAATATCCTTAGACTTTCTTTCCTTAATCACCTTTGGAACGACAAAAGACACGCCTCATGTTTGTGCCTTCGAATCTTTCTTTGTCTTGGATAAAATCCGTGACTTCCTTGCAACTCTTTAACCTTTTTCCTCGAGAAGTTGGGCAATGAACATCAGCTTTATCGCAGCTTTCTCTGAGAACCAAAATCCTCTTGAACCCTTGAAAGGTTTTTGGTAAATCAACAAGTGTAAGTCATAGAATCCCAAGAAGAGTACGAGGAGTTTAGAAGTGAAGCACCAAACACGTGTTTTGGGTAAACCATACTGATCCACAAACCAGAACCACTTGTTTCAGTGATTCACTTCTCATCTCCTTGTACCTCTTCTTGAGACTCTAAGACTATACATTCTTGTAGCACTTTCTATATTGTGCTGCATATCATCTCTGTATGTGTCTATTAACTTCAGTGGTTTCCACTACACACATGAAATCAATCAGATTAGGATTTCGAGACAATAAATCTTTCATGCAAAGATAAAGAAAAGCCTTGTTGATACCTTGTGAGAAGTATCTCCATTCCTCTCCTCTTTTTAAAAACTTTGAGGTAGATGAAACGCTTGGGGGGAGGCAAAGGTTTTTAATTTTTTGGTGGAAGTGAAGAGGCCTCATAAATTAGTTGGACTTGGGCATTAAAACCAAAACAAACCAAGTTTAAAACTGAAACGTGTTTGAAGGAAAAATGTTTCTTGTCAAGAAAAGTTACTTGTTTGTGCCTCTCTTTCACTCTAGGCTCTAGGGTAGTAACAAATAACACGAGCTTAAGCAATATTAAAGTTTTGTTAATGTCTCAAAACAAAATGGCTTTTAGAAAACGCCATCACAAAAGCATTTCTTTACAAGGATTCATCATCAAACACAAAAGTTCCTCCAAATCCTTATGAACGAGCTAGAGAGATAATTTGATTTACAGCTACTTGTTCAAGAATCCTAGAACAAGAACTTTTCGGTTCACTATCTACTAGTCTTCTTCTGAAATGTTGAACAAGAACTTTGGGAGGGATGTGATCCGAGGAAGGTGTACCAGCAAATCACTGAATGAGTCTTTCCTTGACATCCCCTGTAGTGGCTTGCTGCTTGAAGCAGGATCAACAACTCTTTTGCCTCCTTCGGTCATGTGTCTACTATTGTTATCGACCCCAATCTCTTTACCGGTGTCAGCATTTTCGATATTGAGATGTGAATTTGCAGCAGATTGCAAGAGGTTGCAGAAAGAATTCACCTTTGACATGACAGACTTCTCATCCGATGGATCGGTTTGAGTGTCACTTAGCAGTATCTGTTTCATTTCCTCAAATTCTTGGTTGTTTTCACAAGCTTGATCTGACAAAAACGTAAGGAAATCGTTCATCGAGATAGACTGGTGTAGTCCAGGCATTTTTATCTGACTCCAACCGTTTGTATTCCTCGAATCAACGGAACCACCAACTCCTTCAATTGCACAAGCATCCATCACTATATATAAATAAGAACGTATGAGCACAAGTAAAGGGAAATGAATGTGAAAGATAGATAGTGGAAACAAACAAAATACCTGAGCTAGGCGATAGTGCGTCATGAGATAGAGACACATGTTCTGATGACGACTGAGCCCCAGCAGGAGATGCAATATTATGAGATCCAGACACTGAGGGATCCTCAAATATTGATTGTCGTGAATCAAAGAACGGTGATGCCAAATTTATCTCTGGCTGTCGGCTTAGACAGAACAAGCGATGATCACATTGGACAAGCTTCTCGAAATGTTTATTCAATATCCCTGGGGCACACTGCAGAAAATGTTGCCTACCATATCACAAAGATACAGAAACCATTATCAGTTTTAAAGTCTATACTTACGAGTTACGACTAACGACATAAGACATGTTCATACCTGTTCATGCTGGCTTGACCATCGGTAAAATCCGATGTCGCCTGCCACAAAGTATGTTTTCTAGGCTGTGGATTAGTTTCCCTAAAAAACAATGGCCGCCTAGCCAGCTGAAACAGAACAAGATAATAAACCAAAACATAAGTCCATTATGATCTACCAAACAACCGAATCGATCACAAGAAGGCATTTTATACCACGATAGTCAGCGTTCCAGGTTCATCTTCCGATAAATTAGCCTTCAAAGCCATAATATCAGACCACTGAATCTCAATCTTGCTCTTAAGACCTTGTTCCAACACCTCCCATACAAGTTTATGCTTTGCAAAATAACATTTCGCCACCAAATCACCTTCATACCTTGACTTATACTACAAAACAAAAGCCAAACTCAGATTCCAAAACAAAATCCATAAAAACACCAATAAAAACCCAAAATTTGAAGACTCTCACCTCCCATTGACCAATCCTAAGAACCGTAGCAGGAAAGTTAGAAGCTTTAAGCTTCTCAACGGTTCCTATACCAAAACCAAAACTTTCTTTCTTAACCGACTTTGTGTCATCACCACTTTGAGAAAGTTTCATCTGAATCAGTTCTTGAAAAGATGGGCTCTTCTTTAAACTCAAACCCAAAGGACTTGGCTCTTCAAGTAGACTAAACTTAGAGACACTTGTTCCATTGTTGCTCCATATCTGAATTCATTTCAATCAAACCCAGAAAATAAAAATCCAAACTTTACAAAAAAATCAAAGTTTTCACAAACAAACCTTTGATCGTTTGTTGAGAGGAGCGTGTTCTTCTTCAAGAGAATCTTCAAAGATCTCTAAATTCACCGGAAAATTGTTCCGATTCTCTGATCTCATCATCTCCACCATGAAAAAATCACAAGATTTGAAGAATTTATGCGAATGAATATAAACCCTGAGAATCTAAGAGAGTAACGAATTTTGATTTGAAGATCTAAAAAAACGCGAAGAAGACGCGATTGAAGAGCCACGCGCTTGAGAGGTTTATTTATTTAATAGAAAAAAAAGTTGAGTTTCTAGAAAATACCCAAATTGGCCTTTTTTGGTGTCTTTACTTAGGAGGCTATTTTGTCATTTGCTTGTTTGAATACTTGGTTGAGATAGGCTGTTTAGGTCCCACGTTTTGCTTTTTTAATGACGGCTATTGATGGATAATTTGACACGTGTCATATTATTCGGACGCTAGTTTCTTATCTAATTTTCTATTTTTTTTTTTGGCAAATCAATTATATTAATCATAAGAGTGTACATGATACATGGAACCATTCAAATACAACCGATGAAACAAATAAAAGAAATTGAACACAATTTCGATGAAGAAGTGGAAGTAACCCTGCTTTCCAAACGGAAGCCTTATAGGCAACAGAATAAATCTGTAAAGTCCCCTCTTCGTACACTTGTAATAGGCTAACATCATATAGATGAGACTCCTAAATGCTTTCCGCATTACTCTAGATAAAATAAAATTCTGATATGTTGATTGAAGTGGTTCCAAACCATGAACTTTGTAATGTCGTACGCATCTTTGCCGGTTAGTGACCGTATTTCCCCTTTGAGTAACACCAATTTGAGTCCTATTGAGGCCGATTCCTTTAGGCGAGACGGTTCCAATGATTCCAGGATCAAAAACCCAAATGATATCTCCATACAAATGGAGTGGAGAAAAAGCATCGGTTAGGAACCGGAGATACCGCCGGGGAAAGCAACCACCGGGAACAGACCTGATACAAGAACAAACAACACGATTCAAAAGAATCGATATATCACGGGACGAGAAGCATCGGCGATCAGATGAATCTGTCAAATTCATCAGTGAGATCAGATTGAAACGATAGGCAACCCAAATTAAGGATTGAAACTGAAGCGATAACAATGGATTTGGATACGCCGGACAAGAAATCTGAAATATCACCATCACTATGTAGCAAAGAGCATAGATTGCAGATCTTCGATTTGCCATTATTTATCACTAAAAACAGGAAATATGCAAGTATTAGAGAAAGGAAATGATAGAATAGGTTTGTGGCCGACGCCGAAGGAATCGACGCCGGCCAAAGGGATGGAAAGATTGACTAGTTGTCTTCGATGGCGATCGCTTTTGTTACCGCCAAGAGAAAGAGAGAGAAACGATTTCTCTAATTTTCTATTTCTCCTTTGCAAAAAACCAGAAAAAAAAACCCAACTAATTTTTTTTAGCCGTTTAATACGTGTAGTATTAAATTTGAAATAAAAATACTTCATTTAATTTCGGTTGCCTTTTAAAATCTTGTTTTAAAAAATTTGGTAAAATCGTACCCCGAGTTAACAACTGTTAACTTTGCTAACAGAAGTACTAACTGTGGTTAAAACTTAACCCAAGGTGTTTAAGTATATATATACAATTTCTTTTCAAAACTTTACGAATATATTGACTTAATCTGGAGGTTAAATGTGGGTTGACAATCGAACTGAATCTGAGTTCGAATCCCAATTCCTCTTTTTAGAGGTTTTTTTAATTTTTTTTATTTAATTTCTTTTTTTTCTTCAATTTTTTTGCTCACTGAGATGCGGAGGTTGTGCAGCCTACCCCACGAAACGATGCCGTTTGGGGTTTCTTCTTTGTGGTTTCCGGCAAAAGGAAGACATGGCAGATTTAGAAACGCGGCTAGGTTTGGGGATTAGAGGTTCGACGGAGGTGGAAATGGGTAGGAGATTTCGATGATTCCTAGGTCGTTGGAGTCTGATGTGTTGACCGATTGTTGTAGAAGAAGATGAAGAAGGCTCTGCAGATTTCGAAGGGTGGGAGATTTCGATGATTCCTAGGTCGTTGGGCACGGAAGAAGGTTAATGAAAGGGCATTTTTAAGTTGGATTAGTGAAACTAATTTAAGTAATTAAAAAAATAATAATTAAGATGATGATCTCTGAGTTTCTGGGTTGAAGGCATTGTTCAGTAGGAGAAAAAGAAGACAAAAGTGAAGAAGGAGAAAAAAAAAATTAAATAAAAATTTTAAAGAAACGTCTGAAAAAGGAACGGGGATTCGAACCCAAGTTCAATTGGATAATAAACCCGCATTTAACCACCTGACTAAGTCAATAGATTCTTAATGTTATGAAAGGAGATTTTATATATATACTCTTAAACACCATGAGTTAAGTTTTAACGGCAGTTAGTGCTTCCGTTAGTAAAGTTAACAGTCGTTAATTCAGGGGTACGATTTTATCAATTTTTAAAAAAACGAAAGTTTTAAAAGGCAACCGAAATTAAATGAGGTATTTTTATTCCAAATTTAATACTACACGTATTAAACGGCCAAAAAAATTTAGATGGCGATTTTTTTGAGTTTTTCCCCTTTCTCCTTTCTTTGGCTTTGGTCTATTTTTTTGTCGTTACATATAATAAAATGGTTTATAATATTTGTAATGTATCACCAAGCATTAGCAATTTTTTTTATAATTTATGATGAAATTAGGATATTTAGTTTACTAATGTGTTTAGACTTTGGTGTTCCAATTTTTTTTTTTTTTTGTGTGTCTCTAATAGAAAAGGTTTAGAAGATGTTAATCAATCATAGATATTAATTGACATTTGAATCCAATCATAATTCATTACTTTTAATAGATGTTAAAAAAATTGATGATTAAATCTTCTTGACATTTTAAAACATTTTCTATTAAACTTAGGTGTTACATGAGTTAAAATTTATAAATTATGTTTTTTTTACATCTTTTATAAGTTATGTTTAGAATATTTTAAAATTTGGATCTTTTAGTTCAATATAGGCAATTTAAATAAAACATTAATCATGATTTATATATTTACAATTTACTGTGTATTTTTCTGTATATCTTAATGAACTCTCATTATCAATGCATTAGCTAGTGAGTCACTGTCTCAGCCGCAATTTATCTTGTAATGATTTTGACAAAAGAAAATGGATTTGGTTGAGACTTGAGAGTTGAAAAGAGTTGTAAGTGAGCTTGGTGTGATTATAATAATTTGAAGTCTTATCTCTCTGCCTCTAATTTTCAAACCCAATCATTGATCAATGACCAAACTCGTTGATGAGGTATATGTTACACCTAGCCTTGTTTTGTCTGTCATGCGAAACAAGCAAGAGGAGACACAAATAAGAAACAAAATCAACTCATTGATCAAATTATATCACAATACAAAAGGATATTACCACAACTTTAGATTACAAAACGAGAATTGCAGGTAAGAAAAGGATCAAGCTTATTCTGCTTAAGTCGCCTTTCGATTGACTTTCAAGTATGGTAGAGCGCCGATCACATTGTCATAGTCGCTCCGGTTCACTTCGGTCTGCATTACAGAAGACAGAATACAAAGCTAGACATGTCAGAAAGAACAGAGCAGTGAAGTTGCTAATGAACACAGCCAAAAACAAGTAATAACTTGAACTTGTGATCATCAGATTGATGCCATAAGTTTTTTTTTCTTGTTTCTACTAGTTATTGATAATAGATGTCTCCCTAAATCACATTTCTAATGGAAGCCGATGCAGTGAATCTCAGTGTCATGGTAATGTCTAGGTGCAAGGAGTCAAATGCACAAAGAAAGATGAGATTTGAAGATCGAAATGTGTGTGTCTGACAAATAAAACTGTGCATTACTACCAAGAACATTAGCAGCCAAGTCTCAGATTATATATCTAGCTTGAAAAATATGAGTTTTTGCGTCTGCTCTATCATCGTTACTGCTAAGAGCTTGTTCTTTTCCAACCATATCAGTTATCACACCTCGTGCTAAAACATCAACGAGAGTCACCTCACAGTTAATCACTAAAGCTTCAAAGAGATGAATGCATTTCACACACACACAAAACTATATACCCATCACGATAAGCAGAATCAAACAATAAACCTAATGAGAACAAGAATGTAGTTTGCAAACAGAAACAAGATTGAAGAAATAGATACTTGTTATAGAAAACCAACCATTTTCGATAAACGCAATTTCCTCTTGTTGTTCTTCTTAGCTAACAAATGCTGCTTTCCGGATCTCCTCCTCACAATCTTCCCCCTACCAGTCACTCTAAACCGCTTCGCTGAGGCCTATCAACAAAATACATTACACATTCTCATAATTCCATTCAACAAAGACTTAACACCAATCAAGAAACGCAAACATTTTTACTTAACCAATTAAAAACACTTAAGAGCTAACACAAAGTTCACAGTTTCAAATATCCCAAACTTCACCAGAAAAATCTAAACTTTCGAAGCATTGATTCCAATTCCCGCCACCAAACTCTCAAAACCGTAGTACTTAACTTCAATTTTAGCTCTAACTATACCAAAAACCAGAAATGCAGAGAAAGAGAGAGATAGTGTAAAAGGACCTTGTGGGTCTTCAATTTGTAACCCTTATGAGCGAAAACGGTAAAAGACTGAAACTTTTGGGAATTAGGAGAAGCAACTGTAGAAATCTTCTGAGGAAAAACAGCGCGAAGCCCAGAAATGGAGTGACTTGAAGCAAGACTCGTCGCGAATTGAACGGAACTGCGAAGTGAAACCTTTGGAGAAGAAGAGCGTAAAGGACGACAGAAGCTAACGTTAACGGAAGCCATTGAGAGAGAAGCCATTAGGGTTTGTGCTCTCGGCGATTTTTTGGATCTTTTGTACTCACTCCGATTGAGGAAGAGATGATGAAGAAGATAAGCTTTTTTCGCCTTCAAGAGCTAAAAGAGTGAACGGATGATGTGAAATCCGGTTTAGAGAAACCGGTTGATGCGAAAACCGGGATAGTTGGTTTTGCTCAAATTGAAAAAGTTCTTGGCCAAGTGTGCATAATACATACAGAAAGGATTAAATCAATGAAAACCAAAGATGACAACATCTTAACATTAATCTTTAAGCCAAAGCTTTTAAACAGGCATTAATGGGTTTGATTATTGTTCTTGTTCGTGCTCGAACATACTCTAAGACAACCCTACCTAAATCTCACCAATGTTTTTTTAGTGGATAAAACTATAATATTAATTGAGTAGTCAAAACTATTTGTGGTAACCGGTGAAAACTCGAAATTTTTTAGAGTAAGGTTTGGTTAGATATTTTGTATCCGAATCTATCTAAAAGTATTCCAAATTATCGGAAAGTAACCAAAATATCCGAAAATGTATTATAATCCAAATATACTATACCCAAATTTTCCAAAAGTACATGAAATACCCTAAAATTATATTTATAATATCTAATTACTAGAAAGTACCTGAGATACTCAAAAAAGAATTGTAATTTTGGGTATTTGGATTATTACATATAAAACATTACTAATATTTTGGGATATATACTTATATTTTAGATATATTTTGATACCCGTTCGATTCTTAGATTAGATCTATTCAGGTTCAACTATTTATGGGTTTGCTGGAGTTTTGCCCACAATATTGTGGGACTGAGAAATATAAATGGAGAGATGGAGTCAGGTGTTTTGGTGGAATTCAGGGAAGTTGTAAATCATATTTATGATTACATTCAAGATGAGAATAATAATAGACAACGTACATAAGATTTCGTTGGTTGATGTACGTTTTGACAACATGGATCGCAACGAAAAAAACATCATTCTCGCAATAGAAGAAAACATACTGCGATTTGTTCCTATTGATCATGAGATGTGTTTCGTCAATGTAAGGCAGAACTACAATTTGTGCAGCCTTTATTGGTTAGGCTTGAAGGATGGTGGTCTCAACGTAACTTTATCACAAAATGTATAGACTATGTGACAAATCTTAATGTGGATGCTGATATTGCAGTGTGGATGAAACTTTCCTAAGTAATACATTGAAAGGTTCAAGATCTTTACAATTTTTCTAAAGAAAACAGTTGCACATATACATTGGAAAAATTGCTTCATATGAGTGCAATGATCTAAAGTAAATAATTAAAAGCTTATGTATTCAATTACGTCGATTTTGCTTCATATAAGTGCAATATAAGTACAATGATTTTATATAACTAATCAATTATTCAATTACGTAGTTGATTGCTTATGTATTCCATGAAAAAAAAAGAAATGAAAAAGGTAATTAATTAAAGTCTTATTATCAAATATAAGTTGATGACAAAAAAAAAACAAATATAAGTAAATAATATATCTAAAGGCTTCTTGCAGAGTTTCATGAATATTGACCTTAAAAGTTAAAACCAAAAAAAATATCACGTGATTTACCACGCCTCTCTTTCTCTAATCGACGTGATGCTGTGATTAAAAATATCATTTATGTTTTTGGTCAAAAGTAAATAGTAAATACTTTCATTTATTTGTTGTTTTTTCATACTAAATTTTTTTGATGGCTATTTTTTTTTTTTTTTTTTATATCTTTGGATCGACAAGGTCCGATCCATAGCCAATCCCTACTACGCGGGGTAACGCGACTTAGTGGCTATTCTTTGAGTTAGTTTCAATATAATTTTTTTGACAATGAGCTACTCTCAATATTAATATATTATTTTGTCATTTTTTTTTGCTATTTTTAGTCTATCTTCGATGATCTAAGAAATATTTGTCTTTAAAATTTTTATGACTTCCGGCTTTATTTCTTTTTTCTTTCTCTGTCACTCAATTTTCGCTTCTTTTCGCGAAAAATATTTAGTTACAATAAGTAAAGTATAAATTGATGACAAAAAAAAGTATAGTATAAATTATCTGAATGGAAGAATGAGGAGAGTTTTACCGACAAGAGGGCAAGCCAGAGATGGATACATCTAGGTGGTTTTATCAAAGATGAACATGCAATAAGAACAAACCTCCAAACTCCTAAGTAGATCGTTATCCTAAATTTTTTTGAGCAAATCACTTTTTTTTTTTTTTTTAGAAGATATAAGTAGTATGAGTTTATGAATGAAATGTTGGAGATGGGTTTAATTAACACTCTTCCTTTTGACTCGTTATAAGACGAAGACGGACCATTAAGAGATTATTGGCCCAATACGAAGACGGTCCATTAAAAAAGTGATCGGCCCAATAAAAAGATAACTAGCGACGATGAAGATGACCGGTTCAAAGTTCCACTGTCCGTATGCATTATAAAAGGAAACATTGTTCATTAGAGATATCAAAATTTGTGTATCCCCGTTCTGATAATGGAGGAACTAGATCGACCAGCAGCCGTAGCTGCAAAACGAAGCGGGAGTCCTAAATATAATGAGTGTGCTAAGGCCCCGCGTGTGGATCCAAAAAGCGGATCTCCGTTGCTGTTGTTGTCTCCAGAAGAGGGTGGTATTCGTGTGTGCAAGCCAGACGAAGATATGTTTTACGAGACGACGACTGACTTTTCAGGGTATCGATTCCTGGCAAGCTCGGGTAAGTGGTTCCTTGTGGTAGATTCTCGATCGGATCTCTATATCATAGATGTGTTTAGCGAGGATAGGATCCATCTTCCACCTTTAGAGTCAATCAATGGTGGCCTTTATATGGTTGAGCGAGTAGGATCTAATGAATTCAAGGTTACCTTAATTAGAGGCATTTTGAATGGTTCTTGTTCTGTTCAAACTACCAAATATCTAAGAGGTCTTTTGTGGGTAGACGACGAGAATGGAGACTATGTTGTTGTGTGGCAATTTGAGCAAGGCCAATTTTTAGGCTTTTGCAAGAAAGGGGATTTACATTACCGCGATATTCCAATACGGGTCGATGTTCGCAGGGAGTTTCGAGGCTTAAAAGATGTGGTGCTTAAAGGTTATAGTCTTTACTCCCTGGTGACTCGTAACTTCATTCGACACATGGATTTGTCTGGTGGACAAGATGGTTTCAAGGATGTATCTGTGATCCCTAGGTTTCCAATGTGGATGCCAGATACGCCTAGGGCTGATTTTGGAACAGAAGGCAAAAAGGTCATCTCTTTTAGCGATAGAATTGCTGTTACAACATCAGGAGAGGTTTTGTTGGTCTTTACCAAGGCTTACGAGCCTTTCTGTGAAAGGTCTAGGATCTTCCGCGTCTACAAGAGGGATCCTAAAGAGCTAGACCCGAATACATACGACACTAGGCTTGTTGAGATGGAATCTATAGGTGATGAAGCCCTGTTTTTCGATTTGGGTATCACCGTGCCTGCTGACCTTACCCTTGGTATTGAGCCTAACTCCATCTATTTCACCCGTAATGACCGTTTCGGTCACAAGAACATTTGCATTCCATGCCTGATCGACATATGTGTGTACAACATTGCAACAAGGACCGTTAAACGCTTCCACAATCTCTCCAACTTAAATCTCAAGGATGCACAGTGGTTTCTCCCCTCTTGATTTGGTGTTTTTAAGAGTTTCTAGCTCTTGCCTTGTCATTACTCATTCTCCTGTTGAGACATTCCAAGACTCTGCTTTGTTATCCTGATTTTCTTTTTCATGTATATTATTATTTGACATTGCTTAGTGTTTAAAATACCTTTTAAGTCTTACGTTCCATATTTCAAACCATTACTTCAGATCAAATTATCATACACTCGTTGTAAGCATTATTACAGAGTTTTCTTTTTGTTTTTAATGTCTTTGTGACAATCAAATCCTTATCGATGCCGGTCAGCAATTTCACTATGCTTCTCACAAAGATTGAGAGCTCCAAGTTAGAAAAATGAATAAGAAGAGAGCATTGAGATTTGTGAGTACTGTCACAACGATCACAAGAGAATATGAGAGTAAAAAAAAAAGAAGTCTGGTCATTCTTTTAATTTTTCCATTTTTCTCAATTCTGCAGCCTAAATTCCCCAAAAAAAATCATATATATAATTGAGAAAATTGGAAAAAAGATATCTACTAAAATTTTTGTCCATATATACCTTTTTGGTGAAATTGTCACTTTGGACGAAATTACCCTTACACCTTATTTTAAACATTTTTTTGAAAAAATAATCAGAAAAACAGATAGATATATAAGAGTAGAGATGATTTGAAGTGAAAATGTTAAGATTTGGTTGAAAAAAAGTTATTTTTTTGTAGATAAAGTTTCATCTAATTTTGTTAGAACACGTTTTCTAGAGTTCTGCAAAAGTCAGAGTGTGTATTCTACATTTTTATACATGTTCTACATATTTTAGACTAGTTTTCTGTTTTGGAAATTTTAGAAGTCCGAAAATTATATATCTAAAATATTTAGAACATGTATTCTACTTTTTGCTCTATGTTCTAAATCTTTTTGAATAGTCATTCTACTAATTACTACATCTTCTGCCATAGTTAGAAATTGTAATCTTCTTTTAGAATGTAAATTCTACTATATTGTAGATTTGGTTTTCTGAAATTTTTAGAATTCTCTAAATATAGAAAGTAAACCTTTAGAAAAGGAAACTAAATATTTATTGTAGATTACATTTTAAATGGATATTAATTGTTTAGATTACGATCTACATAATTTAGGAATCGTTGTCTACGTTTTTTAGCTAAGCCACCACTTTCGATTTTTTGCTATACCCTATGTTTTTTCTTCAAATTCTCTCTTTTTTCTTCAACGATTTGTGCCTTAATTTTTCGATGCACATCTACGTAAGAAGTGGTGTGTGGAGATTGTATGACAAGAGGGAGTGGAGATCTCAATGGGAACCTTTTTATCTTTTGATATAAGTTTGCAATAATAATTGTTATGCATGAAAAAAAAAAATTGTTATGCATTGTTATTTGTTAATTTTAAACTTAATGTCCTAAACGAGATTATGAGCTTATTTACCAAGCTGAAAATTGTCAATTGGAAGTATAGTTTAATTTTTAAAGTGTTTTGATTGCTAGTTAAGTTTGCTACTGAGATCCTAATTTTCTATAAAGAAATCGATTAATTGATAGTGGATTGACAATAGGCGTGCAATGAGAAGACTGAAGAAGAATAATAAAAAAAAATCATATAATAGTGATTTATGTTGGATGATTAAACAAATAAATTGGAAGGTGATAGAAGGAAGTAAACAAAATTATGAGAAAACGAGCCTACTAAAAAAAATATACAAGAAAACCAAAAATGAGTTTAAATAGTAAATACAATACTTTTAGTTTTTTACTAGATATAATAATATAATTCATTTTTAACGAGAACAAAATAAAGAATATTCCTATTTTAAAATTTTGAATGTGTTAATGAGTTTTATAATGGAAGTAAAATTTAAATGCATGGTATAGTAAAATAGCAAATATGTAATTGTGTTTCTAAAATTTTGAAGAAGAATTTTTTTTTAAAATGAAACATTAATTTCTTATTACTAAATATTCACTTAAAAATGAAAATATTACTAAAATCATCAATTTTAATTTAGGATAAACAAATTAAAAGATTACTAAACTCATCAATTTTAATTTAAGATAGACATTGTTAGGTCACACTTTTTTGTGAAATTATTACAAAAATCTTGAAATATTTAAAATATCATAATAGATTTTCTAACAAAAATAATAATCAATATTCATATTATTCATAAGTTGTACAACCAAATATACAAGAAATAATATGTAAGCCGGTTAAAAAAGTGATATGTAGTTTGTATAGCATATCTCAAGTGAAACTATAATTTTATTTAGAAAACACGTTTGAGATTCCATCATGTGAATCAAATGCTTTTAACACAAAAAATCAGCTGAAACAAAATATTTAAAGTAGACTAATAAGTTCATTTTTTAGGGGATGAAGTTGAGGTTACATCACAAAATTAACATTTCAAAATAATAAAAAGCGACACGTAAAGAGTGATTTGAGGTCACGAAGACTACTCTTATAGATGAAAATGAAATCACATTGTTTAGTGTTGGATGTGTAAGTGTTGTAAAAGACAAAAACTATAATTTTCACAAGCATGGAAAATCAAATCTCCTCCAAAAATATTTTTTTTTATGGCAACTAGTTTCAAGATCCTTGGCAGTTACTTCTAAACTAGCTCATTGTAGGATACAATGCGATATTATCTGTCAATGGTGTGAGATGGTAGATGAAATAATTAATCATGTGCTCTTTGAGTGCCCACATTCTCGAGGGTGTTTTCCTCTAACTTCGGAATATTCAAACCTAGATTACTTTTATTGGAAGTTAACACCTCCTTTGGACGGGAGGGAGAAAAATTATTGTTACGCTTGGATTTTGTGGTTCATATGGAAAGATATGAATAGAAAGGTTTTTAAAAGATTACAATCCGAACCCAAATATATTTTAAACCACTTTCAGATTAAAAAATTAATGTGGGAAGAAGCTCAATTGGATCTGATTGAATCTACTGCTATTAGGAAAACTTTGGATGGTCCAATTCAAACGATAAGATATCGGATTGATGGCTCATAGAAGTGTTCGGATCCAACTATGAGTTTATATATAAATAGTAGTGATCCATCGACAACACTATCAGAAACTTATATACTACGAATTGTTAAAAAAAAAGTGTAAACACTTAAAGTTTGAAATAAAATAACAATTAGAACATACTAATATATTACTAAACTCACACAACTTTCTAGTATAAACTAAAGAGAAAAAAAACGAATGTGTGTAATATGCAAAAACTATAGATACAAAAAAATGTTTAATAGGTAATGATGTATTAAGGAGTAGTTTAGTATATATTGTAATAAATACAGAGAATTAAATAGCCAAAAACTTTTTTTGTCATCTGATGAATTCTACAAAAAATTATTTTATTATAACTCGATAACGATAATTACACAATCATGTAGGTGTGTTGTTTTATTGTAAAGTTTTTCTTGTAAATATAATTGGATTTATTGTAAACAAAACAAATTAACAATGATAACCGCATAAACACTTCTTTCCTCCTTGGGGAGTAGGCACGCAAGTAGAGCCTCCTTTTAGATACTTCTTTATACACATAGACAAACACTCATTGCAAAATAAATTACAAAGGTCTTTACCCTTAATTTCTTTCCAACACTTTTTTTTTTTTTTTGATTCACATCTCCCACCACTCCGGTCATATGTTTCAAATATAACATTGGGATTTTTGCTAAATGTACCACATTTTTCAAATTCCTTAGCATCTCTACCACAATGGAGAATGATTTAGCAGTACTTGTACCACATTCATGTGGTATTGTGGTATGAAAAAGACGGTTTTGCCCTCGGATGATGTGGCAGATAAAGTGCAACATTTAGGGACAAGTATCTGAGGGACAAAAAACCAATTCGGGGACAATAATCAAACGAAATATAAACATCAAACAAAATGAAAAGACCGCAATTAGAGTTTACATACTAAAATCTAAGAACAATGAATTAAAATTGAGGGACAAAAACCAGCAAACATGCAAAAATAAGATGAAATTATGGAAGACTCAAACTTCGAGGACAACTGTATGTAAACTTTTTTGTGTGTGCTCAAACTACGAATTTTGTCCCCGAAATTTGAGCAAACAAAAAGAAGGGCAAAATGGTCATTACACATATCAATTGTGGTATGAGTGATAAATGGGCCTGCAATGTGGTAGAATGAAAAAGAATTGGGTCAAATGTGGTATAGATGTTAATTTTCTCTATAACATTTTAGTTTCTGTACTTATTTATATATAATTATTCTGCTTATTGAGAAGACTAATGTTTTGAAGAGTTAACTATATTAATATCAATTGAAAATATTCTATAAATTTTCATATAAAAGCGTAAGTAAAGTCAGAAATAAAAACATAACTTCAATATTTATGAAAATGAAATATTTTTCGATACATTAATCTATGCAACATGAAAACAAAAGTACTATTGTTTAAAAAAAATAAAACCAATTCAAGTACTCATAATAATTCTTCATAATATGTAAGACCATATAACTTTATAAATCAGGGAGTTTCAAAAATATATATGGGAATCGGTTTGCTGTATAGATATATAAGTATGTATTTTACATTAAAAAAGAAGAAGGCCGAATTGATATTGTGGCATTATATACTAAACAAAACAAATTGAAATCTATTTACATATATAAAAGGTGAGTTGGTATTTCACTGAATTAATATCCAATTAAAAAATTTGTTAACTGATTTTTGATAAACTAGATTCTCAAGAAACAATTATATGTAATATATGAAAAACATACTATAAATGTAAATACAAACCTAAAACAAGAATAGTAAAAATAATCAGAATGATGAGCGAGAGTTAAAACTTTTCTTCATCCTAAATGATAGAAATAATTTTATAGTGCTTTGAAAAAATTGAAAAGAAAGCACAAAGTGTAGTTAGATGATTTTAAAAAAGTAGAACAATGTTTAGTTATATATTTTTAAAAAATTAGATGTATCGTCTAATTAGACATATCTAATTTGAGCTATGTACCATTTTAAATTCCGAAATAAAAGGATATAGTTTTACCAAAGTTCCAGATGATTTTCTTATATGATAAGTAGTAAAAGCTTTTTTACCCCGCATGTTTTCCCTTCTTTATCGTATTTTTCTCCCAAAATTTAACTGAAACAATGAACATTCTTATGGTCGTATGCTCTCTTTTGGTATAGACTCCGACCTTGTCCGACGGTCAATGTGATACACTGGAATGATAAAAATATTTGTTTCATAATCCTATTACTTAACATGTGTACTACTCTAACTACACTAATAACAAAGAATAGACTAAATTCATCTGTTTTTATCTTCTGCCAAAGAGATTATCTACATATTTCCGAAATTCTTTGGGTATGAAAAAAAATCTCTTTCATCTCTCTATTTTCTGCACTTACATTGAGCTAATAAGGGCATC